GGTACATAGAAATGCCAGACATGAAGTGGACATAAGTCTGACAGAGTCTGAGGCTGCCCTCTAGTGGAAATCAGTGGAAGTGCATCACTGTGAAGTGTTTGTTGAGTTGAGTCTTAAATGAAAGTGCATGAAAGGAATGAGTGACTGTCACAGACACCATGATAAATTGATTTTGAACCTTTCCAACCTTCATTGTTATATATGCACTGCTGTAATTCATCAGTTTATTATAAATATATAAAGGGCTTAAATAACATAGTAGCTTATGTATTTCCATCTTTTCACAACTGTGAAACTGTGCTTCACAACTGTGAAACTCACAACTGTGAAACTGGCCTGTTCAAATTCATGTGTAAAAATGTCAAAATAGGCTTTCTATAATTTAAGATGCCTTTTATAAACACCAAACAAAGCAGGGCAAGTTCTGATATTTTCTTAGTCACATCTTACGGCAAAACCTTTGTACACCGAGAACTTCTATCATACAGACCTCACTGTCCAGTAGTATCAGTCAGGAGAATGATGCAAACAATTTCCAACACTTCAGATGTGCCATGGAACAGCAAAAAATGGCATCAAGCAGTGGAGAAACTTGTTCAACACTGCCAATACTTCCCTCCACGATGGATTAAAATCTGTAAACTGGTGTGTAAAGGATTATGTACAAGCAATATCCCTGAAATCTGACAGATTTGAAGCATTTTTAAAAAGGACATTGGAAATCATTGCCACTGCCCACTTCAAGAGGAAGACAATGTTGTCTTTTAAAAGGTCTTTTGCACTTGAATCAGAAAAACAATTTTGGGAATGTTGTTCAACAACTTACTTTGCTCTTCCTCCTCCCAGTTTTCTTCCTCCACCGGCAATAAACAAATTCCTGTAGCAGCTCATCGTGTCACAATCTGTTTGTCTCACACCTTGAGTGGAGAGTATTGTCTTCTTCAGCACAAGACTGTTGGACCAAACTGTAAGTTTGCTTGGTTTTAGGTTTTATCTTAAACAAACTTTTTGTGTGATTCTGTTTTCTGATTCAAGGAGAACATGTTTTCTTTTTATTTTGACTCTTATTGTTTTTCTATTCTTAAGGGGAATCCAGATTACTAAAATATGGAATAACTTAACTAATCATGAGTATTTTTCTTCTTCATAAAACTGATTAATGTTTCTAATATCTTAAACTCAACTTTTGCTTTCACCATAAAACTCAGAAACAAAAACTTCCTGTTGGCTCCTGAAATGAGTTTGATTCTACTTACGCGTTGATGGAGTATATAATAGATGTTTTAGAAGTACCAGTATATCACTTGGTTTCTTTAAAATATACTGCGTATGGTGAAAGTTCGTGATAGTTTTATATAAACATAGAACATCATAATCTTAGTTAATTACATTAAACGTCAATAAGTCCTGGAATGAGTCCTGGAAACAACCGTTGAGAACAGAATGCTGCAGAACCGCATCAACTACAGAACAGGAGGAACAAGTTTTCAACTGAAATGTTTCCTTGTTGGCACTAACTCTCTAACCACAAGATTTATGATGCACAAAGAGCCTCTAGTTGTGCTCAAAGCACCAGTATGCAATTTTATAATCATACAGAGATTGTTGGACATGATGAATTTATTCATGAAGTTTTACAAAGTGACTAATATCAACTAATGACTGGTTGATATTTTGTCTGGATAAACTTTGGCGGTAAACACTGACTCTGTAGGTGATCTTATACTGATGTATTTTCTGGTGATGTTGAGCTGTAAATTAGTTTATTGTTCCTGTATTTTGGGTGACAGATACATCTGAAGCAATGTTTGGTCTGATTTGAAGACAGAAATGATTTAATGTTGAGCATATTATATTTAGTGCAAAATAAACCTTTAGAAAGCATTGTCTTCTATGTAATCTAACATTTATTTCCAGTCAGATTTTCTGTTATAAAATTATCCAAAATAAAATGAGTAAGTCGAAGGTTGATACTTGAATATGGATGAAGTGCTTTCAGATGTCAAACTGAGTTATAGGAGTACGTAATACAGTACTGCAGCTCCATGACTCCATCTAGTGGACAGATAGTTGAAGTACAGCAGTCTCTTCAATCAGACTGAATTCAGTTGTTTTTTGCAACAAAGCTGATCCAAAGAACGATTACAACCAATGTGTGGAAAACTAAATTTGTGTTTCCCCTGCAGATCAAAAAGGAAGCTGTGTGAGCTGATGTGGATGGAAATTCAGCACCATGACTGAAAACAGGAAAAAAAAGTCAGATGATCATCTCTTACTCTTCATTGTTGTCTGTCACACATGGTTCATGTAAAGAAATGAAACAAAACAATACTTTTTAGTATTTTACACATTTTTACATCTTTAACAAACAGAAGTGTTTTAATTGTAGAAAACAATTAAAATTGTCAGTCAGTCAGATATTCTTCAAAATCTGTGGTTCTGCACCTCTAGTTTTATCTTTAAATTCTACATTTCAATAATGTTGATTATACAGTATTTATAGAATCTAATTCAATATCGTTTTTTTTTTATTCAGGACTAAATGGCAGTCAAAACCTGAACCCACTGAACCCATTAAACCCACTGAACCCATTATACCCACTGAACACAATGAACCCACTAAACCCAATGATGCCTCCAAAGACAGATCAGAACAAACTTCATCCTCAGACAGGTGAGCTGATTGAGACTGCGTAAAATTGAATTAACATGCATCTATATGTTAATTACATGCTGACTGATAGATTGACCTTATAAATTTTTGACTCTTCAAAACACTTTTATCTGACAATTTGACAATTATTCTGCTTTTAAACCATCTAACATAAAACTTATTTACCAATGTTTGATGATGATGAAGTTCTTTTACAGCTAGATTTTTTTTTAAATGCAAGCTGAACTTCACGGCTTTTCTTTTTTGTTCTTAAACATTTATATTATCTGCTCCTACAGTGTTTTGCATTATCAGGATGTATCAGGAGAACGTTTTATGTCCCTCAGAAGCAAAGAAGGATGTTTAGGTTTAACATTTTTGATCTCATTGATCTTGGGCCTATCAAAGTAATCTGTGACCCACTGTTTTTTCTGTACTTAACAGCTGGTTGCTCTTGAATGAAATGATCAATAACAGGGGAAAAGCACTGATTAGGCGCCCCTCTGCTCATTTACCTCCTGTCACTTCCCTTGACACACAGGCAGAAAACACACAAATTCAACAGCTGGTCATTCATTGAGCATTTGTTTTTCATTCAGGACTCGTCCGCAGTCAGAACCTGATGATGTCTCCCTCTGCAGTAATTGGTCCAAAGACAGGCCTCCTAACGTTAGTGAAGACCAGCCTTCATCCTTAGACAGGTGAGCTGATTGTGACTGTGTGAAATTGAATTAACATGCATCAACATGGGCTGATTGACTGAGTGATCAATCTTTTTGACACTTTCAAAACACTTTTATCTGACAGGTTCACAATTATTCTTCTTTTAAACCATCTTACATAAAACTTATTGACCAATATTTATTTTGTCTCTGAAATCTGAGTCAACAGTTCAATGCGATTATCTGTCCACTGTCTCCTCATAGGATGTGTAACACGATACAATCCATTACAGAAACACTGAGAAACAACCAAATAACCACACCTCCAATCACAGCCAGACAATATTTATCACCTAGAAGACTCTCAAATAGGATTAAAAGTGAGAACTCTAAACTAAAATCTAAAAATAGTTCACACATTTTTACATCTTTATTTAACACACAGCTCACAAAAGTGTTCTAATTCTAGAATACAGTTAAAATTGTTTAAAGGACATATTTAAATTTTTAACAGCTGATGACTGTGATATTAATTTCAATATCTGAAGCCATAAATGTGGCTCAAAGAACAACATGGCCAACTCAGAACCAAGTAATGATAACAAAGTTTCCAGTAGAGGTAAGAAGGTAAAGATTTACATATTTGTCCAGTAAGGAAGAGAAAGGTGGAAGATTGTTGTCTAACAGGAAGTAAGATGTAACAGGACTAATATAAAGTAATATTGATTATCCAAAACATACAGAATTTCCTTCAGCATTTGTTTTTCATTCAGGACTCGTCCGCAGTCAGAACCTGATGATGCCTCCCTCTGCACTGATTGGTCCAAAGACAGGCCTCGTAATGTTAGTGAAGACCAGCCTTCATCCTTAGACAGGTGAGCTGATTGTGACTGGTTTTGAGTTAAAACATGTTTAACAATGATTGAAAACTTTAAAATATCCCTATAACAATGTGTTATTGAAAGATTAGAAGATTAATATTTGATCACCACCTATAAAATCTTAAAAATGCAAGCATAAAAAAACTTAAATAAATAAGTAATGCTTAGCTTGGTGGGGACACATATAAAGCCTGGCGACCCACCAGGCTTATTTTCTATCTGTACAGGAAGGTATAGACTCATAATTCATTTCTGAGCACAGGCACAATGCTACGCATCATCCAGTGACATCAGAAGGCAGAATTGAAATAGACAACATTGTAATACAAGTATGAAGACTGAACCTTTCAGAGTTTTAGTACAACTGATAGTGTTAAGATAGTTAATCACCTGTTCTTATATTTTCTTCTGAAAATTCAAATTCATGTAACTATACATTGTGATTGTTTTTTGTTTGTTTGTGGCTTGATAATGTGAGTTAATTCTTCATGATTTCTGTACAGATTAGATGAGCTAAGCTCAGAGGTTTCCATTGGCCAGGCTGAACAGCACAATGGAGAACAGTTGGAATCTACAATTAAGGTCTGTAGATCTACAAGTACTGCTTATATTAGTCCTGTTCAGAGACATGAGGCCACTGTTTTATTTTTTATTTTTATTTAAGATTTCTAAAATCTTAAATTTGGCACCACAGTCTTAGTCTGATAATTATTTAATTTATTCATTTGTTCCAGCTGCTGAAGGAAAACATTGTAACTTATGTGAATGACGAGCTAAAGACAATCCAGAATCTCCTGGACCCAAACGATACAGAGTGTTTAGATAGTCCGTGGGAGTTTGATGCAGTGTTAGAAGACGAGGATGAAGAGCTGAAACAGGAGCAACAAGGAGGCACTTTTAAAGATTGCATTGAACTTTTTGAAGAAAATGAAGAAAAAGGATCTGGCAAATCATCTGCAGAACAGTAAGGGAATTTCTTCAATGACACATGCTGAAGATGTTGGTATTGATTCTAATGTGCATGCTAACTCTAAATATCAGAAAATAAAGCAAAATGATTTTTTCTTCTTTCCTAAAGCTGTTTTCCCTGTTGTATGTACATAACCAGAAATGCTGACAAAAATGTTTTGTACAAAAGATGTAACATCTTCAAGAAACAAGAAAGGACATTCATTTTACTTTTATTCATATAGCACTTTAGACATTAACAGTCAATATTTTATTAAAGACACAAGAGGTGGGGTAATAAAGTTTGTATGTGCTTTATTTAAAAACTTACACAATTTTAATGAAGTACTTATTTTTGTGTTTATTTAGAACTTTATGCTGCAGTTTGCCAACGTCAACTGAAATTGTCTCTGAAAAAGAAGGTCCAATGTGTGTTTGAGGGAATTCCTAAAGCAGGAAACCAAACTCTTCTGAATCAGATCTACACAGAGCTCTACATCACAGCAGGAGGAACTGGAGAGATCAATAAAGAACATGAGGTCAGACAGATTGAAATAGTGTCCATGAAACCGCAGAGACCAGAAACAACGATCAGACTTGGAGATATCTTTAAACGCCCACCTGGAAGAGATCAATCAGAATCAATCAGAACAGTGATGACACAGGGAGTGGCTGGCATTGGGAAAACAGTCCTAACTCAAAAGTTCACTCTGGACTGGGCTGAAAAAGAAACCAACCATGATGTTGACTTCATATTTCCATTCACATTCAGAGAGCTGAATTTATTAAAAGATAAAAAATTCAGTTTGGTCGAACTTGTTCATCACTTCTTTACTGAAACTGAACAGATCAACCAGTTTGAACAGTACCACGTTCTGTTCATCTTTGATGGCCTGGATGAGTGTCGATTTAATTTGGACTTCCACAACAATGAACTCCTGACTGATGTCACACAACCTGCCTCAGTGGATGTTCTACTGACAAACCTTATCAGGGGGAAACTGCTTCCTTCAGCCCACCTCTGGATAACTACAAGACCTGCAGCAGCCAGTCAGATCCCTGCTAAGTTTGTTAGCATGGTGACAGAGGTTAGAGGGTTTACTGACCCACAGAAGGAGGAATATTTCAAGAAGAGGTTCAGAGTTGAGAAGAAGGCCAACAGGATCATCTCCCATATGGAGAAATCACGGACCCTCCATATCATGTGCCACATCCCAGTCTTCTGCTGGATCACTGCTACAGTTCTAGAAAATGTGTTGCAAACCAAAGAGGAAGTAGAGTTACCAAGCAGCCTCACTGAGATGTACATCCACTACCTGATCGTTCATACCAAAGTGAAGACAGCAAAGTATGACAAAGGGAAAGAAACTGATCCAACTTGGAGTCCAGAGAGCAAGACAATGATTGAGTCTCTGGGGAAACTGGCTTTTGAGCAGCTGCAGAAAGGAAACCTGATCTTTTATGAAGAAGACCTTAAAGCATGTGGCATTGATGTCAGAGCAGCCTTGGTTTACTCAGGAGTCTTCACAGAGCTCTTTAAAGAGGAGAGAGGGCTGTACCAGGACAAAGTTTTTTGCTTTGTACATCTGAGTGTTCAAGAGTTTCTGGCAGCTCTCTATGTCCATCTGACCTTCATCAGAGATGGTCATAATGTGATGGAACAACAACAAGCATCTTCCAAGATCTGTGCAATTTATAGCAAACCAAAACTAACAAATCTCCATCAGAGTGCCATTAATAAGACCATGAAAGATACAAATGGACATCTTGACTTGTTCCTCCGCTTCCTCTTGGGCCTTTCAGTGCAGACAAATGAGAAACTTCTGGAAGGATTGGTGACACAAACAGGAAGTAACTCACAGACCAACCAGGACACAGTCCAGTTCATTAAGAAGAAACTGAACAATAAGTTGTCTGCAGAAAAAACCATTACTCTCTTTCATTGTCTCAATGAACTGAATGATCACTCCCTAGTGGAGGAAGTCCAGAAAACTCTGCAGTCAGGGAATCTCCACAGATAGCCTTTCTCCAGCACAGTGGTCTGCTCTGGTGTTCGTCTTACTGACATCAAAAAAAGATCTGGACGTGTTTGACCTGAAGAAATACTCTGTTTCAAAGGAGGTTCTACTGAAGCTGATGCCAGTGGTCAAAGCAACCAACAAGGCTCTGTACGTACAATTATATTCAAACATACACATTTTTAAATACATTTAACTTTGGCTAACAAAGTCAAATTTCTGTTAATTAAAAATTTCTGTCTGAATTTAAATTAATTTTAAATGTCATGACCATTTTTTCATTATTTGCTTTCATTTTTATTTAATCAATGATGTCACATCTCTTGGTGGATTCCAGGTTTAGCTGCAACAAAATCGACTCCCAACTGGTTATTTGGTTTGTTTGAAGCTAAACAATAAGAGTGAATTTGTAACAAGGTTGTGACTTTACCCCAGTCACTCCTACAACATGTTAATGTGTTTTTGGGCAAGAAATTCAACCCCAAGTTCAGAACCAATCTGTGTTTTTGTGTGTGAATAGGTGAATGAAATGTAAAAGCACTTTGAGTGGTCAGTATCACTAGAAAAGTGTTTTATCAGTTTAATCATAATCTTTTGTGGCATAAAGATATGAACAGTACCTTGTAGTTATAAAAACAACTAGTAAAAGGGACTTATTATCCAAGGGTTATTGGATAATTGATGCATCTACAATGTTTTCTTCGTACAGTATAAAAAATATATAAAAAGTATGTGCTAATAGATAAGTCACATTTTTCCCTGTGAGAAATATTTTACACCACCACCACAATGACCCAATTCACAAGAAAGACATCATAATAAAGCAAAAACATCCAATAAAATGTGGATATTTATTTGACTGTTTCAGTAAAATAAATAAATTTTTTTTTTTTAAATAAATAATATTCTTATTTTTACTTTTAGGCTTGGCGGCTGTGATCTCTCAGAAGAGAGCTGTAAAGCTTTGTCAGAAGTTCTCAGATCTCCGTCCTCCAGTCTAAGAGAGTTGGACCTGAGTAACAACGACCTGGAGGAGGCAGGAGTATCGGCTCTAGTAGAAGGACTGAAGAGTCCACAATGCAAACTGGAAACTCTGAGGTCAGGACCATAACTTGCCAGAAAACTTTGTTTGTTCCATCTATATTTACCAAACACATAGCACTTTCTCATACAGTTCTTTTGTAAATTTAAAGTCATGCTGTAAAATGTTATCTACATTTGCTGTATCTACCTTATTCATATGATGCTTAACATTAGTTGTACTCAATATCCAGCTGAATTCTTACCTGTAAACAAAATATCTGCTGCAAAACTTCTGCAGATAAAAACATATGGAGCTAAAACAGTCTTATTTGTAAATCTTGTGCATTTGTGAATCTTGATCTCTGCATTAGTGAATTATAAGACTGTTTTAGTGCCATAAAAACATGATGTAACAATTTTTACACGTTAATTGGCAAAATACAAAGATATTGATGCCCATTGTGATGCCCACATCACTGAGTTTCGGTTCTAGGTCAGTCATTAAAATGCAAATGACAGCCTGCTCGTGTCTTGTAGCTGCAATATTATGAAGACATGAAAATAATAAAATCTCATACTGATGTGGAGATTTCTATTATTTTAATTCTGCTGACTGCGACAGACTGGCGACCTGTCCAGGGTGAACCCCGCCTCTCGCCCGGAACGCAGCTGGAGATAGGCACCAGCACCTCCCGACCCCGTTAGGGAGAAGGGTGACCAGAAAATGGATGGATGGATAATTCTGCTGAAACCACAGCAGAATTAAATACAAAGCTGAATGTTTTAAGGGCTTATTTTAATGGCAGGCACTGATACTTTTATTAATATCATAAAATTATTCAGCTACAATATTTATACAATTGAATTTTAGCCTATAAAACCTGATAATGTTTCTTTGCATTATGTGGTTGGGCTACAACTTATTACAACAGTTTAAGAGTTTTCTTCTTGGTTTTTTATTTTAAAGGGGATTAGATATCTAGGGATCAAATTTAAAATGTTCAGCCACATTAATCTTTATTCTTCATTTATTGAAAAGCAATGGAAACTGAACCCAAGTTGAATGAATGTGTTTGTTGTACTTTGGGTTGGATCAAGCTCTCTCTTAGGTCCTTTCCACTGCAGAGATCCTCAGTGTTGTATCCACAATGTCTCAATTTTCTGACCAATCAAAATGTTGCTTTTTGATGGAAAACAAAAAAAAAAAAGTATTCACCAATGACGTAAGAATAACCTGGTTCAAGAAATGAATGAGAAAACTGAGAAAGAAAACTAAGGATTTTATTCAGTTTGTTCAGACCTTAAATCTCATATTGTATGAAAGGGAAGATAAAACAACTTCATATTATATTTCAACAACAAAGTGACTCAAACTGCATAAAAACAGGAAACATCAAAGAAGATGACATTCCAGTATAGGAATGAAAAGTAGGAATACAGACTAATAAACAACAATGTTCACCTTATTATTATAAATTGAAAGTAACAGCAAACAGAAGAGTATTTCTTCTTGATTTAAAGGAACTCAATGTTGTTGTTTTTTGTGCAGTTTTGTTTAAGTTTAAAGAAGATTTTAGGAGCATAACTGAATACTGACTCTCAGTAAGGCTGTTATTAGCATCTAATCACACCTTAATATTAATCTCTTTTTCAACTAACATAAAAAATGGGTTTCATTCTTATACTACAGAACATAAGTATTTTCTTTATTTTTTATGAATGTCTATTTTATAAATTTTATATACTGTAATGTGATCATCTTTAAATAATTTGTTTTTCTGTAGATTGTCAGGCTGTCTATTAAGTGACGATGCCAGTTGTCATCTGGCTGAAGCTTTGGGCCCCGACTCCCATCTGAAAGAGCTGGATCTGAGCTACAATCAACTAACAAACGCAGGAGAAAAGATTCTGACAGATAAAAAATCTGAATCCAAACTGGAGACTGTCATCAGGTAGGCCCAAGATATACATTAAGTATAGGTGTATTATTTGGTATTTAGTTTTCTATTCATTCACCTCCTGTACATAGTGTATATAAAATAGGGCTATTATACCTAATATAATATAGGGTTTAGGTTATTTGTCAAACGCCAACAATGGACCATGTCATTCTTTTAATTATTTATTTATTTATTTATTTTTGTGGAAAGCAAAGTTATTGCTAAATTTGTTTTATTCTGACATATCAACTTGTTACATTGTTATTTCAGAAATTTAGCTTCATTATTTCCTCCTCAAAAGTCTTTTGTGTTTACTTACAGTCTCTAAAACAGCTGATCTATTTTAAAATTACAATTTCAGGTTCCAAAACAAACTTAGAAACATTAACCACACCAAACTACAATGTAATGTAGCAACCAAAGGACATAATTGCTCTATTCAAATCTCATACAGATTTTCTCTCAGTGAAAATTAATCTGAGTTCAAGATCTTCCAAAAAACATTGTTTGCATGCTGAATTGATGGCCTGACATTCAACCTCTGTTCCCTATGATTTTGTGCTGCAGATTGATGCCTACAGGAGCAAAATGGTTGAAACCTGGTTTCGGAAAATGTAAGTATATGACTATAATGCAACATCCACATTCAAGTTATCTGATGTTTTATTTCTGGTGCAGTCCAAGAGTCAAAAATAATTACTAATTGGATTGTGGTTTTTCCCTCTTCATCAGATTTATGTCAACTCAAAATTGATAAAGACACAGTCAGCAAAGATCTCACATTTTCTAACCAAAACAAAAGAGTAACAAACGAGGAAGCAGACATACCGTATCCTGATAATCCAGCAAGATTTGATAATCCTCAACTGCTTTGTGAAAATAAACTAGAAGGTCGCCATTACTGGGAGGTCAAATGGAAAGGAAACGTTTCCATAGCTGTAAGTCACAAAGGAAGTAATAGGAAAGGAGACAACGATGACTGTGTGTTTGGAAGGAACAGTCAGTCCTGGAGTCTGGGCTGCTCTGATGGTGATGGTTACTCTGTTTGGCACAATAATGAGGAAAAACCCTTCACCCCTACAGCGGTCTATGAAAGAGTAGCAGTATATGTAGACCATGAAGCTGGCAATCTGTCCTTTTACAACAAATCCTCTGACAAACTGATCCACCTCCACACCTTCAACACCAGGTTTACAGAACCTCTTTATCCTGGGTTTACATTATGGAGTCCCGGTTCCTCTGTGTTGCTGTGCTGAGTGTAAAAAGCTTCATCTCAGAGAAACCTTTTGACATCTGTAGCTGATGATGATAAAGTCCAAACATCACAGTACTTCAGACACAAATTACAGATGCATTTTTTTATTTTTTAACATAAATGTCTGTCCCTTATCTATAGGTCATTTTAACAGGAATTTGAGTCTTTTATTTTCTATGTAATAAATATGTTTTGTGGTTTTCTTTAGACAAAAAAATCCAAAGAATGGAGGGCAGAAGTAGCTTCAGTAGAAAAACTTTAGTCTATATTCAATTCTTAATATGAATTAAGCCGGTTCTCTAATAATTATTCTGTGAAGAAATAAATTAGCACTGGAGTCTCAACTCCCAGAAAAAAGCCATGTTTAAACATATTTCCATATAACACCAATAATAGTGTAGGAATGAATTCATGAGACTTTGTATAAATAAAACTTCACAATTCCCTTCAGACCTGTTTGTTTTTTAGTTAAAATTACAGTGTTTTAAATGTAATTTTTTAACCTATTTGATCTGCTACATTTTGAGTTAATCAGAGTATTTTATGATTTATACATTTTTATTGTTATCTTAAAAGTGTAAGAGTATAGCATTATAGCATAGCATGTTGCTGTGCTAATTTCTCACCTTGTCAGGATGACAAGGAGCCCAGATATTTTCTGGATCCATATCTATATGTTGGGGGTTTTGTTGTAAAATTAATCTGTAAAGTTTAGCCTTAAAGTAGTGATGACTGTTTTTCTGTTTAATCATATTATACTGTCAATAAACTGTGTTCCAGAAAAATAACCGTCAATCTGTCCCTCCATCGGCGCTGTCCTCTGCTCTCATCAGATCCTCACTCACTGCAGACAAACAAAACACTTACAGCTTTATATCTCACAAATACTTCTGTTACATTCACTTTCACTCAGACATCTTATATAAACTGTAATTACTGATGGGTAATTATGGCTTTGCTGAAGCACAAACTGCTGATTTAAAACATAATTCCTCACTTGAGGCTGCAATGGCACAAATCTCAAGTAGGACATCAATTTTCATAACCTCTATATACATTTAACTTATATTTTCTGCAATGAAACACTTAAATAAAGTCACTGCATTAATGAGATATGCTCTACTAATACAGACTTATGTAGTCTTTTAACAGAATTGGTATTAAATGTTATTTTAGGATTTCTGCAAACTATGTTGTGTTTCTCAATTGATTTAATATTTGAACATGTTTGTTATGATCATTATTTTCTTGTAGTCTGTTATCCTTTTTTGTTTTAGATAGAAATGTGATATTAATTTACTTAGCACTAAAACATCCTATTCTCCAAAAAAGACAATATCTCTTCTCACACGCTGTACTGAAGCAGAAATTAGCAAACAATCTCTGAAATATTTTGGTTCAGGAAACAGCTTGAAGAAATTCTGATGAAGCCAATTAGACAAGAGTTTAATGATGTTTCTCCAACTGTAACCAAGTAACTTTTATCAACAGAATAGGAACATCTCAGACTGTTCAACAAATGATCAGAATCTTTATTTAGATAAGAATCAGAAACATTAAATAAACAAGAGAGAAACTTAAAACCTTATACTGGTATAGATTACAATAAAAACAAAAAAATAAAATAAAACTTCATCATATGTTCTGTAATGTTACATAAAGATGTCACATGATTGATGTGTCACCGCTTTGATGGATTGCTGAATCACCTGATGAGTCAGAGCCCATCAGGGTTCAGTGTAGTGGCACTAAATGGCATCTTCAACATGGTCACCTGCAGGCAGGTGAGCTGCGGTGGGCGTGGCCAGCCTGACATGGAGTTACTGTGCTGCAGGCTGAATCAGGATATGTTTGGTATGAAAGTAAAATCAACAGCAAACAGCAAAACACTGCAGAGTCTTCATGCTGACTGAAGGTGGAGGTCCGTCACTGTCCCGGTTCTCATGTGGGAGGAGGCCCGTCGTAGCGCAGCATGACGTTGAAGGATCGGGCGAAGTTGTTGGAGAGCGAGCAGCTGTTCCCATCGTCCATGAGCGGCAGCAGGAAGGCGAGGAGCAGCAGAGCGAGGAAGAGGAGCCACAGAAGAAGAGCCAGACGACAAATCCTGTACAACATCCCGGGTTTCTGAAAACACAGAGAGAAGATGGAGCAGCACAACTCCACATGAAGCAGTGATGAGATGATGTGTTTCGATGTTTAAGTGACGTAGGACGGTGTTACCACTATAACGTTACCTTTTCTGTTCTTGTTTCAGAAACTGTCCCCTTTACATTCTCTGCACCTCTCTGCAGAGACAGAACATCAAGTATTAGATTGTTTATCTCGACTCCGTGACTCAGAAACAACACAAAAGTACTTTTTTTCAGTTTGTTTGATGAAAATCTCGATAAATACACATGAATTTTACAAAAATTGTCAAATATAGTTACTGTGTGCAGTTTAACTATACAAATCACACTTCTTCATGTGACTGGTGTCCAAAAGAAGCACATTATAAACAGGAATTAGCAGTATTTGTGTTTTGTGGGGCAACAACTGCAGCCATACAATTACCAAAAACAAAGTAATTAATAGTTATTAATGTAATTTTATCATTATCACAATAGTACCACAAAATAACATTATGTCCATATTCATGAAGTTCACTAAACATAGAATGACTAAAACCTCCTTTTAGCAGCAGAAGTAAATTTGCACTGCCCCCTGGTGGTACACATAAACAGTGCACCAACAGCTAAAGCCCATTCTACCAACAAAATATAAAAGTAACTATTGTAACATAATATCACTGCTGGGCATCATAAGATGCATTGTTTTTAACTGGATTGATTTGAGGTGAATTTGGCCTGATTTATCTATATAAACAGGATAATGGTTTTGTTGTGAGAACTGACATTTATGGTGTTTTGGAGTTATAAATGAACTGAACTGACCATTAGCTCCAGATCATTTCTCTCATTGAGTCCCAGATTGTTATCCATTTCCTTCAGCTTGGACTTGTAGAGGGTCCAGCGGTATCGGAGGTTCTCCAGAGTTTCATCCTCACCCTGACTGCTCTGATTCTGCCGGAGCAACAGCTGAAACATCTGCTGACCTTCAGGCAGCCTGGATCTCAAAGCCTGTAGCAGGAGAGTTAATTACATATCATTGATTACTCATCTATTATTAACATATTAATACAAAACCATGTTTGAATAATGAACAAAACTGACATGCGGCCTGGGGAAGGCGTTTAATCCCAAGTTGCCTACGATCTGCATGTCTGTGCATAAATGTGAGTCTGAATGAATGAATGAATGAATGTGAAACTCTTTGAGTTTTCTGTAAATATGAACTGCAACATGTTTGCACATTTCCAAAACATCAAGCTAAAAAACGAGACAAAAAGGAGGTTGGAATTAAATTACGGAAAGATGAAAGCATGAACTCACCAAAGTGTAGTTCATTATTAAAAAAAAAAATTATAAGAGAGAAAATATTTGATGGTTTTAAGGATAAATAACTTCAAATTGTGTTCTGGATGTTTTAGTTTTGTGGTGCTTTCTTTCCTTTTATGCTTCTGTTTTGTGATTTTTACATAGAAAAAATGAAACATTTTGAGATATGTATATTTTGCAATGATGTATAAAGTGTCAGTTTAACGGTAGGGATAAATATAAGCCTTGTGCTTCTGCCTGCGTCTTTTCTATCAAGTTTTTAAAATAGTGGCAATATTTTGAAGTGTGGGTGACAAATTATTCGATAACTGACTGAATAAATAAATTAAAAACAAATAAATAAAATTCTCGACATGTTATTTTTCATTTATAAATATAATTGCATTTTTAGCATGTTAACATAACACTACTTACATCTTTAACATGTTAAGATATGAATATTTATAGTTAGCAATACCAATATATGATTAATATGTGATTATATAGTAAAAATTTACATCAATATGTAATAATATTATTATATTTTTTTATAATTAAGAGACATTTCAGCCTTTTTAAGAATTTCACTTCATTTCAGTCTGTTACCTGCAGGGTTCCCCGTTGGGTCTGGATCTCCTCGGCACTGAGGGAACTCTCATTGGTTCTGGTTGTCGTCATCAGAACTTCATCCTCTCTGGACAGCCACGCCTCAAACTCCCTCCAGTTGATTTGGTTTAGATCTCTGCTGCCCTGCAATGGCCAAACACAACCTGGGTCAGAACCAGAGCCGTCACTTCATGTTCACTTCATGTTCACTTCATGTTCAGTGTGCAGCGCCGTTAATCCAAACAGATCCGACTAAATCCACTGAAACGTCAAATCAGAAGAGGTGAAAAAATCTGGACTTTTTCACTTACGATACCGATACTGATATCTGAGGTTCAGTGTCGGCCGATACGATCCGAAACAGAAAAACAATGCAGATGTTTTTCACACTCAGACATATAGATCTACTGAGTTACAAATTTATTGGCTAAATCTGCACCGGTATAGCAATGGGCCAATAACTCCACGTGTCAAAACACAACTTTAATGTGTTCAGTCGACACAATTGGAAGTAAAATAAGTAAAAAAGGGAAAAAACCTTTTAAGTCAATTCAGCACCGGTTTTCCTGAATCGGATCGGAAACGGCTGATACTAAACCTCAGATATCTGTTTGGGGGAAAAAGTGATTCAGTGCATTTTTAATCCAGTGTTTCAAACTTTTGCAAAATTTTCTTTTCCAGGATTTTAAAGCATTATGGAGAAAAACTCTGTGTAGTTCTGAAAAGTTCTATAGAACCAGTGAGGAAAAACCAGATCAATATTATTTGACAGGGGCAAAGAAACATGTTTACCCTCCTATCTTCTTCTCCTGAAGACGATGCTGTCGTCGCCTCGCTTCCTTCTCTTCTTCCTGTGATCCTCTGTCTGGGTCCATCTGTGACGCAGAAACCCACTTCCTGCTTTATAGGATGCGGTTCTGATTCAAACCGTCCAAAGCTCTCTGCTGATCCAGAGCGAATCTCAGTGGAGCCGCCCTGCAGCCTGACAGAACAAAAACACTCAGTCTAGTGCCGAGCAGAACCTGATCAGAACCAGGGTTTGGGTTGAATCAGTTACCTGTTCACATTCAGGCTGAGTGTCAGCAGGTCGTTCCAGCGCTGCCTCAGCCGCTCCATGTCTTTCTGAATGTGGACCCGGCCGTCCGCTGAGGTTCTCTTCAGAACCTTCCCACCCTGAGCCTCGATCTGCTGCAGGTGGAGCTCCTTCTCTGGGAACTCCGCGAGGAGCTTCTGAGGAGAAACATGGAGGAGAGAGGAGTTCAGGCTTTCATCAGGAAGAACCTTCTCCACCCTGCAGAGCTTATTTCTACGGAAGAGGATTAAGGACACTGAAAAAAAAAGAATTCTCAGAATTCTGACTTTTTTTCTGAGAATTCTGACTTTTTTCTGAGAATTCTGACTTTAATCTGAGAATTCTGACTTTAATCTGAGAATTCTGACTTTAATCTTAAAATTCTGACTTTAATCTCAGAATCCCATTGTAAGATTTGGATTCGTAAGGGGAATGCAAAGCAAATTAATTTGTATAGCACATTTCAGGCTCAATAATTTATAGATAATTCAAAGAGCTATACAGAAAAATCAAGAGTAAGATTTTAAAGCAGAGGTTAAAAACACACTCATAAATAAATTAAACAAGCTAAAATAAATACAGTATGTAAATATTCTAGAAAACGAACTTTTTAATTTCTAATTTATTGAATTTAACCATGACTATTGAGTCTGAGGCAGCCAGGAGAGGAAGAAAAATGCTCACAGGTGTAAGATATCATTTTATGTTCTAAAAAAAAAAAATCTTCTCATCTAAAACTTGCAAATAATCTGAGACAATGCTCCTTCCTCTGACCTTCCTCTGTATCGTTGGCTGACTGTTACAACATTCAGATGTTTAAATGTTAATCTGAGCTGAAGCCTCAGAGAAAATATTTGACCGATTCCTAAATCTGGAGGGTTTCTATAAAACATCACTGCTGGACTTTAATTCTTCCGTCATAAAAACTGCATGTCAGAAAATCTCAGGGTTCTTTATGTTGGGTTGGAGTAGCTGTGCCGTTACGCTGCGCAGCGGAGATCCAAACACAGAACCGGATCAAAGCAGAGCCTT